ATAACTTTTAGTGTTCTGTTATTGATGCTTACTTCTCCTGAAGAAGAAAATTAAAACATTTGAATGATTCAGCATGAGATTAAAAATTGAAAAAACTGTAAATATGTTTTAGCCCATTTTAGCACTTATTTACACATAGTATATTATGCATTAAAAATTAGAATACATTTTATGCATGTTATCTACATACATATACTACAGTTCAAAATTTTGAGTCCACTCCAGGTAATTTTTTAAATTGGCCCCAAAAGTAGTTATTTTGTTTTTTAAATAAGAGAAAATTATGAGACATGATTTTTTTTTTATTAAAAATTTTATTATAACAAAAAGAAAGCATTTTATGATTAAATTTTGCTCTCATTAAAATATCCTTCTTTAGCCTTGATGACTGCAGCACAGATCTTTGACATTCATTGCAAAAGTTTCTTCACATATATGTTTGATAATTGATTCCATTCTTTTTTCAATGACTCTAAGTCCTCTTTTTTCATTTCTTTTTTTTTTTTTTTTTTCACTCTTCTGTCAAATTAATCCCATGCTAATTCTGGGGGTGGCTTCAAACTTTTGATCTGTAGTATATATTGTAAATGAAATATCATTGTGTTGTTGCTAATGTGAAAATCACTCCAAACACTTTCGCTTCTAACAAAATCAAAACAAAATGAGGCCCATGTTTTTACAGCTGTAAAAAAAATTAATATTTTAACAAGGCACAAAATAATTTACAATCTGACATAATAAAAGGTTTTGTATATGTTTTGAGTGGATATCTTAAAATGGATGTAAAGCTCTTCTATTATACATGTGTATATGCATTATAGGTCAAAATTTTGGGATCACCCTGTGGAATTTGAAGAATCACCCAAAAATTTAAATTTTATGGATTTTTCAAAATTAATTTACTAGCTCACTTCAAGACAGAGGGACATTCACTTTCTGGAGGGTTTTATCATATACTCAATAGTAATAATAATAATGAAATTAACCTGTTACTGCATAAAATTTCCTTAGAATTAATTTCCAGACCTGGTATCTCAACTTCAGTTGCTTTCAATATTTTAATGGTGTCAAATTTTAATGAAATTTTAATGGTACCAAATTTTAATGAAATTTTAATGGTATCAAATTTTAATAGTGTGAAATTTAAGCAAACTACTAATTTGCAACTAGATCTCATTATTTTACTGTTGAAATTGATGTAACTGTAAATTCTAATAGTTTCTTTTCTTGCATTTCTCATCTGTGGAATCCACTTCCAATTTCTTTCTTCCCTGCCACCTACAACCTTGAAAAATTTCAATTAACATCAACTGACATCTTCTTCCTTTCTGAATATTCTTCTTTTATTGTTCTTTCTTCTCACTAAAGTCTTCTTATTCTTATTCTCTTCCACTCAGAGTAACTCCTTGCATCTTAGTAGCATTAATGCCTTACTGGGGATGAAATGATTAAAAATAAACAAATAAAGTGATATTTGGGTAGTGTGACAGGTACTGGTATGGAATCAATAAACTGATTTCAAATTCCAGGTTACCCATTTCCACTCAAAAGCTCTTGAGAATGGCTTCAGTTTGTGTCTGTCCCACAGCTATGGATTAAATAGCAGGGTAGACTAAACTTTTACTCTTGGTTGGAAACCAATCTAAGAGAAGAAAAACTCTGAATACAAAACTATGTAAAATGCAGCAGGAAATCACCCCACTATCTTTCTGAAGATGTCTGTCAATTCACAGATAATTTCAGTGTAAGGTTTCAGTTGACTAATAAAGTTGTGTGCAATAATTGCCTGCAGTAATGGTCCTTCCATGTTCCAAAAGCTCATAATGGATGACAAATTTTCATATTTTGCCAGACACAAAGCAAAGATTTTCGGTGGGGGGGGGAGTCCAGGTTTGGTGTTGGCATTGGTTTCTCATTTTGTGATAACCAATCTCTTTTTTTTTTGTTTTTTGTTGACAAACATATTTTTCATCACCTTTAACAAATACAATACAAAAATGAAAGGCTGGTATTCTTAGTTAAGTCTTTTAACCAAGAATACCAGCGTTTCATTTTTGCATTGTATTGATTGTATTGTTAAACGTGATGAAAATATTCTGTACATAGTACAATATTGTATTTGATTCTCAAGCAAAAGCTTTGAAGGAACTCAAATGGCCACATTGCATGTTTTCTCAAATTGCTTGAGATATTTGTGAACATGTCTTTGCTCTGGTGCTTTGACGTGGATGCAATTCAATAGTTTTTATTCAGACGTTAAGGATATAAAGAGCATTCCCTGCATTTGCTATACACTGCACAAATGTTTTTACATGACTCTGTAGCAGTAATACACTTTTGGAATTTATAGAGTAAATATTTTGCTTTTTAAAGTTGTACGCTTCCATGGGGTTTAAATTCTGAAACACACTATAAATGACACACAATGAGATAGAAAAGACTAATTCTAAACAGTTTCATACCATTCAGCTTTGGTTCTACCTTGGTAGATTAAGTTCATCATAGTGAAATATCTAATTATTTTATGAACACCCAAAAACTATGTAAAAGGAAGCAGGAACATGAAGAATGTGTGTCAATTCACTGATAATAACAAAAAAGGGTCTACAGAGGTTCATGATAACCAAAGTCCTGAAGGGACATGGCATTAAAAATGAGCTCATAAAAATGTCTTCTTTGGCATTCTTCTGGAAGACTACAAGGCATATCAAGTGAAAGAATAAGACCAGCACACTCCAGTGGATCAAACAGTTTTCTCTTTATCCTAAGGAAAAACAATGAACTTTTCACATCATAGAATAAGAACAAAATAACATCATCATCATTATCGTCAGTCCCATGGCGAGGTGTCACTGTGCAGATGATCACCTGACCAGTTCCTTCAACATATCTGGTTTGAAAATTGAAAATTCATGTATAGCATATTTTTGATCTGACAGAGCCCATCCATCTCCAGATCAAACCACAGCCAACATCCTCCATTTTGAAAGTTTACATAGTCATTGATTCCATTGGGGGAACACTTTGCCCATGTTGTTCCCTTCAGTCTAATAAGTCCTCTGATCAGAGATGTTGTGATATCACTGCACTGGTCTTTTTTTTTTTTTTTTTTTCTTTTTTTTTTCATCATTTCACCCCAAGCAAAGCAGAAGTGACACTAGTATGCAAGGAGTTATAGGGAGTGAAAAGAAAGGAGAATTGGCAGGATTGAGAGAAGGGCAAAAGATGAAGGGGACTGAAGAAGGCAGAAGACGGTGATTGATATTGCATTTAAATTTTTGAAGATTACAGTTATCAGGGGAGCATTTAAATGGAAAGGAGTTTCACAGGTGGGAAGTTCAAGAAAAGAAACTGCTGGAGTAAAAGTGGTGGTTGTATTTAACAATTTCAACAGTAAAATAGTGGGACCTAAATGCCAGTCTAGTAGAACGTTTAAATTCATGTAGTTGGGGCACCAGGGGAAAAAAAGCTTGTCTTAGCGATTGCCAGGAAAATATTTGACAGAGGGAAGCCATGATATGTCAGCAAGCAAGTGATTGAAGTTGAGATGCCTGGTCAGGATTGACTCCATTACAGATCTATTTCATTCTATAAGATGACCACTGAGTTTACAAGAATGTTCATCAACCCTTTGACAGGTCTTGGTTCTAATCCTATTTTGTGTCTGGTCAGAAAAGCCTGATGGGTAAACTGGTTTAGTCACCTATGACCCAACCATGTAGCAGGTAATAATGGACTACAGGGTACTACTGTTACTTGTAGAATAACTTGATGTAAAAAAAAAAAAAAAATGGATTAAATAAAGGATTCACTTCAACATTGGCCATGAAAGACACCAGACCTGACAGGTGAAAGAACAAGAACAGCATAGCCCAAGGAGTAAAGGAATGATTTCAACATTCTTGGATGGTTACTAAATGTGGCAGACACCCAAGGGAAAATGATAGATAATAAGGCTGAAACAATAAAAATAGATGAGGAAACTAGGTCTAGGTTGAAAGAATCGATTGATAATAGCATCAATAACTTGTTCTAGAATTTCAGGCAAAACAAAACCCATTATCAAATTTTCCTCTGGATAATAACATAGAAGAGAGGTGCATAATAATAGAGATTTCTGTCTTATGAAGTGAAGGGATACTCAATGTGGGAATAGTTCAGACAAATAACAAAGTGGGTTAGCTACAATTGTGCACCACCAAGTTACTCCAGAGAGTGTCGGTCAGGTAAAAAAAAAAAAAAATATTTACACTATTTACATTGTTCAGACTATTGTCCTCATCATTGTTGCTATATTCACAACGTTTCAGCCATTGTATGCTTTGGCCTTTTTCAGGTGATTGGAATTTTGAACTGAACACTTTATTTCATCCACTGGGGTAGATTGTTCTAGTTTCACATGTCATGCTTGTTTTGGATGTTTCAGTTATCTCCCTTTAACACAACTCTCCAAGTTTATTTTCACCTCCAAAATAGCCAGGTATTGAACTTCACAACTCTTTGAGTCAAGCACTGGATCCGACCAACAGCTTTTATCCACTGGGCCATATGTCATAACCATCAAATTCAATGTCTTTTACATTTTATAAATTTTGGAATGTTTTTTTTACAAAAGCTTATAATCAAATATTTTCTTTCATCTAACTGTATTATAATACTTTCAGTAAAATGGTTTGACCAGTGAGTGTCAGTTTTGGTAATATCATGTAATTCCAGGAAGACATGAGGTTGATAGATTTTCTACCACTTATTTAACCCTTTGTAGGTTATTTAAAGCCAGAATATTTTTTTAGTTTGTAAGAATTTTTTTTTAGATAATAATGGTTTAAGGATACAAGTTTTACTAATTAACCCATAGTTGAGGGAGAAGAGGTGGATTCATACCTTTCTCAAGGGTATTTATATGTAAGTAAATATAACGAACACACCAGAAATTGAAACACGTCACTCCGATTAACAATTCCAAGTCATTATCCATTACACCACCTGCACATCCAAACTTACAGCACCTGTTATTCTCAAGCAGTCACCCATCTAGGTACTGACCATGCTTGACATTGCTTAACTTTCGTGATCGTATGAGAACTGGTGTTTCAACATGATGTGGCTGTAAACCTGAAAACATGTGACGTTATGAATAACCATATATACTTGAGTATAATACGAGTTTTTATCATTAATTTTTCATGCAAAAAAATAGAGGCTCACATTAGACACAGGTAATTTTTTTCTGGATGGGTTAAAATTCATGTCAAAATTGGGGGTCGCACTATACATGGTGCGATGGATAAATTATCGTCTAAATTACGCAAAAATGAAAATAATATTGACATCTCATTTTAACAGATATATTTACAAAAATTACACAAAAATATCTTGAAATACTAAAGGCTAAATTTATTCAATAATATCACTATTGGCTTCAAACAGGGCCTCCAGATGACTTCGGAATCTTCTGCATCTCTTCTGGACGGTCTCCTTTTAAAAGTTGGTGAAAGCTGCCATAATCTTTGCCTTCAATTCATCTTTGCTGTTACAAGGAGTTTTATTGGTCTCTCACTCAACTGTGCCCCACATATAATAATCAAAGGCATTGCAGTCTGGGGAGTTAAGTGGCCAGATGTAAGGGATAATGTAGTTTCAAAAATTGTCTCACAACCATAACTGAGTACTCCTACTTGTGTGGCATTGTACAGAGATTTGTTGCTAGACATAAGGTCTTTCAGCAGCCACTCTCTTCATCCAGATCAGCACTACCTCTTCAAGGCACTTGATGTTGGCCTCTGTGTTGAGTCCAAAGCCCTCACCAACAAATTTGGGTGTTCTTTTCTTATCAGAAGGATCAGAGTGAGTTTTCTGAGATGCCGAACATTCCTAATTTCCATTAGACTCATCCAACTCTTTCTGAATCCTCTGGACTGACCTCATATTGACAAACAAACACTCTGAAATGCTCATATTGGAGCTTCTAGCACAAATGTCAAGCAGTACAGCATGCCATTTCCAAATTTCTGGCAGAGTGAATTGTGACATGGTGCTCTTTTTCTCACAGATGGTGCCCAACTAACCCTACTATGCTGTGCAGTCAACAAAATCAAGATCAAATGCATGAGTGAAATTAAAAATATTAAATGGCAACAAATTACACATTACACCCTGTACACAAGTATATACAGTATGTGGCCAACAAAGCACACATTCTATGCTGATGAAGATTTAGCCTGAAAATTTCTATATAAACTATCATGTTATTTAAATAATGTTTTCTTCTTTAATTTGACATGTCCTTTCAGGATATTGGCAATTATAAAACCACAATTCTTCACAAATGCCAACCTTTTTTAAAAATTTTTAACTTTTACCACCTCTCTTTGTCCCTGCTCTACTATTCATTGTCAGAGGTTCTTTATTTTCTCACCATTTACCCTTCTTTTCTTTTAATCATTTCACCCCAAGCAAAGCAGGAAAGCCACTAGTACGCAGAGGATTATAGGGAGTGAAAGAGTTGACTGAGGAATGATAAAAAAGTTGAATATGATTCGATAAGATAGAGAATGACGATTAATGTTCCATTTAAATTTTTGAAGATTGTAGTTATCAGGGAAGTAAGTAAATTGAAGGGAGTTCCACAGGCAGGAAGTATGAGAAAAGAAACTGTTGGAGTAGAAGTTGTGATTGCATTTAACTATTTCAACAGTAAAAGGGTGGAACCTATTGACAATCTAGTAATATGCTTAAATTTACATAGTCACAGCACCAGGAGAAAAAAGCTCATCAGAGCAATTGCCATGAAAATCAGTAAGAAAATGACTGAAGTCAAGATGCCTGGTCAGGATCATTTTTTGTCAAGAATCACAAGATCAGTATGTCCAGTGAGTGTTAGGTTTTCCAGGCCCTCTTTCCTTACTACATCTCTCAGTGTCACATCTGTTTTCTTATTCCTATTTTCTGTAAGACTTTTTCAGTGCTCACATGTTTTATCTCATTTTTATTTTAAAGCAATTATATGGAAGTATTTTTTTTATTGTGAGATATTAACTGTAAATTTTCTTTTTTCTCTTCAGATACAATGGTGTTTTCATCTGCCACCTTCATTGAGCTGAATGGGATTTGTATGTGTTCAGTGACGGTGTAGGCCAAAATGTTCCTACCTCTGTGTCTGCTGCTGTCTGTCCTGAATTGGTGCCTATGCATCGACCTCACTTACTTTGTCGAAGAAGGGAAAGATCCAGGGACACTAGTAGGCAATATTGCTGCCGATTCACATCTGATGGACCGAATCCCTCTTGACGAACGCAACACCATCACATTTAGCCAGTTACGGGGAGCACAGACAGGCAGCACCCAACTGTTCCGGGTATCAGAGAAGTCTGGGAAACTTTACACACTGCACACATTGGATGCAGAGCTGATGTGCAAGCGTTACCAAGAATGCTCTAGGTTTGTTGAAGTGGCTGTCCAGAAAGGAACATCGTTCATTAAGGTTCTTGAAATCAAAGTGATTCTGAAAGATGTCAATGACTTCCAGCCAGAATTCCCCATCAAGCAAGTGAACATCCAGTTTTCTGAAGGTGATGCCATTGGAATGCGTAAGTCAATCCCTAATGCCATCGATAAGGACGTTGGGTCTATGAACTCAAAAATTACTTATAAGCTCATGAAAAATATGAATGATCCATTTTCGTTGTCTGTCTCGAAACGTGTTGATGGGACAGCTCAGTTGTTTATAAATCTAGAAGAAAAGTTAGACAGGGAAATGAAAGATTCATACATGATTCAAGTGGTTGCTAAAGATGGGGGATCTCCTCCAAAACAGAGTGAACTGGATGTTAATATAACAGTCACAGATGTAAACGATAATTTGCCAATCTTTTCTCAAAAAGTCTATAATGTCACAATCAAGAATGAACCAAGTGATAATTTGCCTGTTGCTATTCTTTCTGCGAGTGATTTCGATATTGGTAAAAACGGAAGGGTCTCTTACGAATTCAGTTTGCAGACTTCTGATATTGCTAAGGTTCATTTTAAGTTGAATAAAGTGACTGGGGAGGTCTTCTTGCATAAAAAGTTTACACTGGGACAAGAGCTGGTGCATAAGTTGTATGTAAAAGCCACAGATGGCGGCAGTCCCCCACTAAGTTCTATTGTGATGATTTTAGTCAATGTGATTAACCAGCAGAATAATGCTCCTACCATTGATGTTAATTTTGTTTCTCGGTCAATGGGTAAAGAAAACACAGTTGCAATTTCAGAAGATATCGAGGTTGGTAGTTTTATAGCCTATGTGAAAGTAACTGACCATGATGCCGGTCAAAATGGAGAACTAAGTTGCATTCTTCACCATGATAAATTTCAACTGCAGAGCCTAGGTCCTAAGCGATATAAAGTACTTGTCAAAAAACCACTGGACAGAGAAACACAGGACCATCATGATGTTATCATCAGCTGTCAGGATAAAGGCTCTCCCCCTTTACATTGTGAAAGCAAATTTTCAATTAAAGTAATGGATGTAAATGATGTGCAGCCAACATTTGCAAAAAAGACTTTCAAATTCTGGATCTATGAGAATGAGAAACCGAATTTTCCGGTTGGTTATATCAATGCTACAGATCCAGACCTGGGATCTGGTAGCAAACTCACCTACTTCCTTCTTGCAGATAATAAGTACTTCTTGCCATTCCAGATCACAGACAATGGACTGATTTCTACGGTGATGTCTCTGGATCATGAATTTCAGGATGTCTATGAATTCCAGGTTTTGGTGAAAGACAAAGGTAGGCCGTCTCTAAACAACACAGTGAATGTGATCGTAGAGGTCAGGGATGAAAATGACAACTCTCCCTACTTTATGTACCCCAGTGTTAACCCTTTCAGTCTAGATGTAATTTACTATCCACACCATACGAAAAACATTACGGTTCTGAAGGCCTCTGACAGTGACGGTCGGGAAAATGCTTTCCTCAAGTATGAGATAACGGATGGCAATGACAAACAACTATTTACCATCAATCCTTATACAGGTCTATTGTCTTTTACCCGAGTGGTCACCCAACAAGATGCTGGTTCCTATGACCTTCAGTTTGCTGTAAAGGACAGTGGTACCCCAGTTCTCTCTGCCACAACAACTATCTTTTTGACCTTAACTGTGAGCAACAAGACATTTGAGATGATAAATGTTGTCCAAATGAAAGCTGATGAAGCTGATGAGAAGATTCATCTGGATTTTCTTATTGCAATCGTGTCAGTGGCTGTCACTCTGTCTGTGATCATTACAGCTTTTATTTCCATATGTTTCCTCAGGTTAACCAACCAGAAGAACATTTCACATAGAACTGAAGGGAACTGTTCTGTGAAATGTGAGCAAAGACAATTGATGTACCCTTATCTTGCAACTTCTTGTAATGATTTGCCTTCAACTAGGATAGAAGAGGTTGACATTAACAGAGACTTCCATCTTATGGAGCGAGGGGATTCTCAAAGGGGGGATAATTCAGACAATGGACAAAGTGGGTCAGCTACAATCATGCACCTCCAAGCTACTCCAGAGGTTGTATATCAGGTAAGGCAAAAAAAAAAAAAAATTAATGACTATAAAATTGTAAGTTTTTGCATTTTATTAACTTGATAACCATTTCAAGACTTTTTTTTTACAAATATTTTCTTTCATTTTTTTTTTTTTTTACAATGATGTTCACCCTGCACAAGGTCCAAGAGCCACTCGAGGTATAGTGTGACTAAGAGTTTATGTCAGATACATGTGAAAGATAATGGTTAACCCTAAACTTGAACAGCTTGTGAACTTGTTGTAACCTAGAAAAGATTACTGAATGAGGAATAACTAAAATGGAGATTGGAAATGAAATAACCTCAACAAAATACAATAATTACCAGTGGCACAAAGTAGGTAACCCGCTGCTAGTGGTAGACTACTTAGACAGCATTTATAAGGATTGGGACATACCCATTAGTTTTCATAGGTACGGTATATAACACCATTCATGGGAGTTCCACTGTATTGTAATACCTTCAGTCAATGTGCAGGTAGCATCATGATTATTGGTGAAGAAAATTGGACTCGTGAGATGCATTCAAATTCCAAACTAGACATTATTATCTCCCATTGTGTGATTTTTTAATCCCCTTCAAAAGTTTATTTTTTATAATGTTAATATTTTTTTTTAAATTGAGAAATTAAGATAAAAAATATGTAGATATCATTGATGTATACACAGTTTCAAGCTCACTATTTGTAGATAAGAGCTAGTTCTAATAACTCTGTAAAAAGTTAGGAAACAAATTTAAACTGTATGTCTTCTAAATTGATAAAAAATGAATATTTTTCAGTATCTGTCCATATTTCTGAGATGAGGTATTATGTACACTATTTACATTATTCAGACTATTGTCCTGATCTTTACTACCATATTTATTACAACGTATTGGTCGTTGTACACTCTGGCCTTCTTCAGGTGGTTGGAATGTCAAACTGAACCCTTTATTTCACTCACTGGGGTAGACTGTTCTAGTTCCATGTGCCATGTTTAATGGATGTCAGTTATCAGTTATCTCTTGTTAATTTCCCTCTCCAAGTTCTCCACTGCCTTAACCAGGTATTGAACTCAGAATTCTTTGAGTTCTGTCACTGGATCTAACACATGCCTTTATCGACTGTCCTTGAGGACATCTGTGTTGAATTTCTGGGTATTATAAACCTAATGTCTTCAGCAACCTTTTTTACCAGTGCTTATATTGCAATTTTTGCTGTTATCATTGCATATTTTTACCAGAGCTCATTTTGCAATTTTTGTTGTTATTATTGCTTTTCACTGGCACTCCTTATTACTGGTTCTCATATTGTATTAATTTCTATGCTTGGTCAGCTCAGGAAATTTTTGTGGCTTAGCAAATGTGCTGATTCTTTAAGTTTACGAATATTCCAATGGTGTTCTTTGTCTATGATCCCAACCTGATCCGACAGAGGGCAGTGATCTCCCTTTTCTCTCCATATGTGGTCAGCCATGCCTGATTTTTCCACTTCCCCTCGTTACAGCTTTCTGGTGTTCTTGAAACCTTACCTTAAGGGGACAGCCTGTCTCCCCTTTATATATTTTCCATAGCTGCATGGGATAGCGTACACACAGTCTTTAGTCATGTTCTCCTCTATGGGGGGTCTTACTCAGGAGAGATATCTGCAAAGTGTTGTCCAGAGAAAAGTGATAATAACAACAAAATTTGCAATATGAGCTCTGGTAAAAACATGCAATGATAACAGCAAAAATTGAAATATGAGCACTGGTAAAAAAGGTTGCTGAAGACATTAGGTTTATAATACCCAGAAATTCAAACACAGATGTCCTCAAGGACACATGGCACAGTCGATAAAGGCGTGGGTTAGATCCAGTGACAGGACCCAAAGAGTTAAGTTCAATACCTGGTTAAGGCAGTGGAGAACATGGAGAAGGAAATTAACAGGAGATAACTGATAACTGACATCCATGGAACTAGAACAGTTTACGCCAGTGAGCAAAATAAAGGGTTCAATTCAACATTTCAACCACCTAAAGAAGGGCGGAGCATACAACAGCCAAAATGTTGTAATAAATGTGGCGACAAAGATGATGAAATTAGTTCGAATAATGTAAATAGTGAATATTTTTCACTTCTGACAAATATGACATTTGTCAGAATTTAAGAATAATAATTTTTTTTTTATTGATTGAGTAAGGAATGTTAATGTATAAAAATTATTCCTTGAAAAAAATTTTTCCCTATTTTTGACAAGTGGACCGGTATACTTAAATTGTGCTCAAATTTGAATGGAATTTGAACTGATTGACCCTTCTGAGCTGTTAACATTACACCACCTTCACATTATATAGATATGTACTGATCACTATTTAAGTCATGGGTTATATGGTATCTGCTATCAACAGAGAAAATGTCTTTTATAGGAGTTTAGTATGTGTTATAAACACAATAGTTACTTTGGTGTAAGCAAGCTATTAATAGATTTTTCAGGAATTTAAATAAAGATGATTTTACAAATGAAAAACCATAGTCTCCATCAAGCTGTTTTCAAATAGCAGCTGACAGATTGGTTTTCCAGAATGGAGTCTTGGATAAGCATAAAAAAATTTCCGCCATAAATATTCAATCAGACTGAGATTTTTGTAGAATGGAAAGAATTATTGCTTTAGAACTCCTGGTATTGTTTATAACATTGTGCAAACTCATGTGAGTCCAGGTAATAAATACACAATTTAAACAAATAATAAAGACACAGGTTTAAACAATTAATAAATACTTTAACATGTTACAGAAAAATAAGGTAAAAGATTCTTTAGTTGATGGTTTGAAGTGCTTAAATTATATATGTTTTCTGGGAGGAAGAAAAAGCATGCTCCTCTGAAGTCAATGGGGTAAAAAGTGTGGGCATTTAAAAAATGTGCTACTTGTAATTTATTCAGGGGCAGTAATTCAACGAAATCCAGACTCTTTGCTGACCATGGCATTGCTCTATGGCAAAATGAATTATTATCCTGATTTGTCATCACCAAACCTATTTATGAAATGAGAAAAGTATCCAAAATATAAAGGTACTGTTGGTGTAATGAGTCTTGCATTGTTTCCTCATACTTTAGATTAGGTGATTTTACAATATGTCAACTGTGAATGATAACAGGTTTGTGGGTTTTATGTGTATTTTTAGGTGCAAGTGCATGTTCTGTATATAAACAAAAAAAGTGTGGAAGAAGCATACAAAAAAAAAATTGAGTTTCTATTACGGACATTTATTTCTTTTGTTTGTTGTATTGAAACAAAGTTAAATGTCTCTTGAGTATGTCTGTTTTTGTTTTTGGTTCAGAAATTATTTAGTAAGGATTAGAACAGGTAAAGATGGTTGAGTTCAAGTCAGCCACATGCTGAGTTGGGATGGCTAAATCTTTGCTTCATGAGTAGGCCTGCTAAGACACATTCAAATGATCTCATCTTTCCAAAAGTGTGGTCATAAAATCACACATATGAACAGAAAATCTTTCCAGTTACTTTATAATTTGCATCATGGAAAAATGAATTTTTTTTTGTTCTTTATTGTTTTATTTATTGTTTTTATTTTATTTTTCTACACAATGCTTGCTAAGTTATTTAATATCCAGTTTTTGCATGAGATGTCAACTGATCAAATTCACATTTCAGTAGTAATTTTCGACTAGAGTAGCCTTACTTACTTACACTGAAGCACCCTCATCTAACAGGTAATTTTATATTATAGATGAGTGATTAAATTTGTTTGTTTCTTTTAGACCAGGGGTTCATAATCTTTTGATGATTCCAGACCCCCAATGGATTGTCCAATATGGTCCCATATCTACTTCACTTGACTGTCAAAATAATTATCACCAATCCTATTATTTGCCAGTATGTCTTCCAAATATTTCAATCGCTTGAATTTACTGTACTTTACATATGGATTGCTAGGAATAAAACATGAAAAAAAACCATAAGCATTGATAACTTTATTATATTTTTTTTACTGAAAGCAAAATAAAATTATAATTCAGTTTTATTACAAAAGAAAAAGGAAGGGAACATAAATGTGCAAGTTTTTTTAATATCTCAACTACAATAAAACAGACTTTTACTAATCTAGTGAGATATTTGCTGTTGTTTTTGTGCAATCAAAGCATGGAATCATGGTACAGTTACTGACAAAGCTACTCATATGTCATCTGACACATCAAGTCGATTTCTCCACTTTGATTTCAGATTTAATAATGCAGAGAATCCTATTTCACAGAGATATGTAGTTGTGAAGGGAACCAAAACATGCATTGCCCAGAAATCGAGTCCCATACCCGCAAGGGGTATGGATACCCCCAGTTGAGAACCCCTGTTTTAGACAGTCATCTTTATGTGTCATTGAAATTGCCCTGGACTAAAGTTTCAACTGTACCACCTTGGCCAATACAGATTTGTATTTGATCATTGAATATCATTTTGGCTCCATACTGTTTTTCTTGAGCTCAATGTAACCTTTTCTTCTATTTTGGGATTAGTGCTGATTTTCAGTTGGCTTTATCTTTATGTAAATCTCATTTAGTTCAGCTAGTTTCATATCATTCCAATAGCTGGTTCCAGATCAAAACCTTGATATGGACCATTTTTTAAAAAATTTCCGCCATAAATTTTCAATCAGATTATGATTCAGACAGTTAGCTAGCCGTGTCATTGAGTTGATGTAGCTTTCATGAAGTACTATAGCAAGATGCATTATCATCATGAAAAATGATTACATCAACCCCCAGATCTATTTTATGCTGATGAAATGAAAAAGTGTCGAAAATATAAATGTATATCTCCTGTGGATTGACTGTTGAGGTAATGATTGCTATTTCCCTTGGTCTTTTACCTGACAGGTAACTCCAGATCATAAGTGAATGTGTAAATTTGCTTTTTTTCTTCAGGATTAGTTTTCATTAGAATGGTAGCAGACAACAGTTCCAATATCATCAGCTTGGGCAATTCAGATTCAAGACTCATCACTGTCCAGTGCATCTG